TTTTCTGCATCCATTTGTTTACATACATGTAATGTACTGTTCTATCATGAAGGCCAGACAGAACAACAGAACCCAGAACCAGAACCCAGAACACGCTCCACTGAGACACAGTCACACGAAACCTCAGACTGAGAGAGACTCACTGCTGAAGAGGGTAAAGTAAGTAGAGAGTGGAGTAAAGTAAGAAATGTAAAGTAGGTCAAAGTCACTATTTCCCTATTTTTTAAAGCATCTACAGATCAAAAATAAAGTGTAAACATGGACACGCTAAAGTTCTTAAACAGGAACATTAAATGTCATTTCATTTTAATGGGAGCATCTGTTAGCGTTTAGCAACATATTCACATTTAAGGCCTTTACAGACGCTCTTATCCAGAGTAATGTACAGTTCAATCAGGTGACCGATGTTGGTGAATGTGGTGTTGGGAGTCTTGCCCAAGGACTCTTACTGTGTAGTGTGATGTGCTTGCACAGGTGGGGAATCGAACCCCAGTCTAGAGGTCTGCACGGGACTGTTTTCCGCTCCCACCCGCTCCCCCAAGATTTCATCCTGCTCCCGCAGAAAATCTGTATCATTTGTTCCGCCCCGCCGGCACAGCTCCGCCAAAGGCGAACTGATGTCCAGTATCTGACACAGTCTATCCACAAAAACATTATCCTCTGCTGAAATAACACAGCAGTCGTGGTCATCAGGCTCACTGTGAGTAACTTCACCAAACACCATTTATTCCCAGTAAACACAAAGCAGGAATTCCACCACAGAGCGGTTATTCTTAGTGTTCTGCTGGGCAGCTGTGGCTGTCGGCTCCACCGACTCTGTAAGCTACGAGAATTTGCGTGTTGTTCACATGATCGGCTGCTTCGCAACTTTAAATACTTTTGAAAACTTTATTAAACACTTAAATACTTAAAAAATACTTTTTAAAAATACTTTTTAAATACTTAATATAATACAAATATTTTAAAATACCTTTCAAAATGCTATTTAAATACTATTAAAAACAAATACTTTAAAAACTTAGCTTTTTTTAATACTTAAAAACCTAAAACTTTAAGTACTTCAATACTTTAAAATACTTCTATGTACTTAAATACTTTAAAATACTATTAAGTACTTATATACTTTAAAACACTTTTTAAAATGCTTTTTAATTATATTTAAATTCATTCAGCCAACTTCACATACTTTAAAAACTAAAAATATTTAAAATTACTTTAAAAAATGCTTTTAAAATACTATTTAAATTGATTAGAAAAACTTTAAATACTTAAATATGTTATTTTTTAAATACTGACATACTTAAAATACTTTTTTAAATACTTTTAAAAATACTATTTAAATATTATTTAAACTCTTTTAAAAAAATGTGGATATTCAAACACCAAATTACAGCCATAAGCAAAAGTTTGAGCACCCCTGGGCAATGTAGCAAAAATACAATATCTCAATACTTCTAGACATTTTCACGATACATAAGTATACGATTTTTCATTTTAATGAGGTTTGATAAGTTAAGAATAGAGAAAAAGACACAGAACAGTTTCAAACTTAAAAATACTATTAAAAACTATGAATACAGTGATTTTTCAGCTTTTTACAGTTTTACACACTGAGCTGCACTGAATCCAGTTAACCAGGATTAGTTAGACTCAGGTTGTAATGAAATGTGCCGTCGTTCAGTCTTTAAGTAATGACAATAGCTACAATAACTAGTAATGACATACAACATTATTTTTCACTATAATGATAAATATCTTCATATTGTGCTGCCCTATTCTGAAGGAGCATCTCAGAAGTCGTGGTCAGTGAGGGTCTTTATAAGGTTAGTAAAAACAGCACATGCTAACTCGAGTGTAAGACCTTCACTGTGTCCTTGTGGTTCTCTCTCTCTGCTGACCGCTGTATCTGAGGATGAAGATTATTCCAGCTGTGCGGATCTGAATGGGAGAGAGGCTCAGATTAAGACCTGAGAGTCTACCAGCACTGACTTCACCAACAAAGAGATGAACTGCGAGAGAGGAGCCACCTTTCCATCTGTGTTAGTAGGGAGACACCAGGGGGGAACCCTCAAGGCCTTCTAGGTCTTCAAAGAAGGGCCACATGATTTCTGGGAACTGTAGACCATTTTCGTTTAATGGAAACATCATGCTTGTTGTATTTAAACTCAATCAGGCCTGAGATTTTGGTCTGAACCTGAATACAGTCTGTCTGAGCCCAATCTGACCCAACACCAGGGGTGCAAAGAGTACTGAACATCCCTACTTCAGTAAAAAAGTACTGTTACTGTAGTGATCATTTACTTGAGTACAACTAAAAGCATTAGTAAAGTAAATTACTCAAGTAAGAGTAAATAAGTACAAAGGATTCTTTACATGGTGAACATTTATCAGATTGATGATTAATGTGTTCTATTTTTTAATGACTTTAAAATGATGTCAGACTCAGGAAAACGTCCTTCACATGTCCTTATTAAAGAATGCCGAGAGGAAGACGTTGTGTTCTGAGACACATAAGCTGGACGTCCGTCCCACCGCCGTCTTTTAAAGATCAGAGCATAAACTTTGTCTCCTCTGCAGACCAGTTTCTGCTCCGTCATGTTGAACGGTATAAACTTTGACTATGACGTGACGAACATGATCAGAACATACTTAAACTTTCTGATAGGGAATGTAATCAGATACAGGCGTTTACACGGATATTATTCTTCTATTTAACGGATTATTTACAGGATTACCCACCTCGTTCAATCGGATAGAAACTGTATTCCGAATGGCCTCAATCGGACTAGACTAATCAGACTGAGGTGTTTACATGGACGTGTTCTATTCCGAATGAGCTATTAGCTATTATTAACAGTTTATCAGGCTGTATGTAATAATAAACTGGGCAGATAAATAAAAATTGTGCACTTCAATTAGCAGAAAAATGTCATGTGTTCTCTGTAGAGTTCACTTATTTTCACTTAGAAACTCAACAAAACTTGGAACTTCACAAGTGGAATTCGAAACATTTGTGTCCGATTCTATTTACAAAGCTCATCCCTGGCTGCTACGACCTTCGTTCATCTTCCACTGGTGTCAAGTGTGTTCAGTTTCGTTGCAGGTGCCGCTGGACTGACAGCACAAGCTAAAACATGTTCAGCTTCAGCAGCATAACATCCACTACCACTTTCCAGCTGCAGCTGCCGCTGATTCTCTTCTGGCTGAGCGTCCTTGCTGGCCACTGGCAGGAAAATGGCCTGAGGCGGAGGATTGATGTTGCCGCAGCTGGACTCTCGAGGAAAGCCTTTTCACAGGCTGAATTCTTTTTAAGCTTTAGCTTCTATTCTGACTCAGACGCTGGACAGTGGAATAATGTGCGCTGCAAGTCACGCAGCTCTGTGTGTGTGTGTGGATACAGGGGTGAGGAGGGGGATTAGTCGACTGTGAAGCGGCTGAAATGACTGTAGTCTGTACATTATTGCGCAAAACTCGGAGACATGGTTTCATTTATTTAATTCCAACACAAAACAGATATTAAGCATACATTATTAATCTTTCAGGAGATGCAGGAGGAGACAATCCACTTGCATAAAGTGAAAAAAAGTGAGACAGTCAAAGGAAAATAAGTGAAAAAACAACAAGAATTAAAGAAACTGGAGAAAATATGACTCTTAACAACCACCCGGAAGACCTGGTAGACACCAACACTGTTCCCATCAGATAAACAGCACGAAAAGCTGTTTGAGAATCAAGCTCTAGAGTCAGAGGCCATGAAAAAAAAAGCAGAAAATGTATTTTTAACCAGCTGCCCTTACATTTTGTTTTCTTCTCCTGTGAAGTTTCAATTTTGGAGATAAAGGTTTTATTCCAGTGTCAAAATTGCATTATAGACCATTTACGGCATTTGGTAGATGCTCTTATCCAGAGTGGCTTACAGTTTGATCATTTTACACAGGGAGGAAAGGTAGTGTTAGGAGTCCTGCCCAAGGACTCTCACTGGTATAGTGTAGGGTGCTTCCCCAGGTGGGGATTGAACCTCAGTCTACAGTGTAGAAGGCAGAGGCGTTACCCACTACACTATACCAGACCACTTTCCAAAATTTATATTAAGGGCTATACACTTACAATGGTAAATTACCATTCATTTCAAATGTATTAGCGAAATTAAATGTGTTTTCTATTAAAGTCAGTTCAATTTCTTTTAAAAACCTCATTATATCCAAAATTGTTACAAACAGATGCACATGATTTCAGAATTAAACTTTTATATACGTTCATATACTTAAAACTTTCATATATTTCACAGAAAATTACACAGAAGCCTTGGTGACTAATTATAATGTCAGATTTTTGAGTGTTCAGTGAGTCACTCTTCACCTTCATTCCAGCTTCCATTCTTTTCAGGAGACTCACTTTCAGTTCCTCAAAGAATCTGCAGACCCACCTCCAAAGTTCAGTCTTAGAAGCTGGTTGATCATTTTCTGAAGTAATCAAACACATTCAGTGGTGTTGAGGTCTGGACTCTGGGGTGGTCAGTCCATTGTTCAGCTTCTTTGTTTGATGTGTCCGTCTCCTTTTCTCAGTGAGGTTCTTCTTGACAGCTACACATCCTTTCAGACCCAGAGCGCTGAGTCGTCTTCTCACAGTGGAAGGATGGACAGAAACACCTGTGGATGTTTTCAGATCTGAAGCAGCTTGATTTTCTCCTCTCTCTCAGAGATGAAAGCTTTAAGTGCTGTTTATCTGATGGGGCAGTTTTGGTGTCGACCAGGTCTTCCAGGTGGTTGTTAGGAGGCCCGTTTTCAGGTTTGGATTATGAATTATCTTATAACTAATCTCCTCAGATGTATCTCCTTTAAAATGAATAACTTGTACTTAATGGCTGTTTTGACTGGAAGTTAAATGAATGAAAATGATGGTCTCTGACTTTTGCGCAGTGCTGTATGTATATGGGTGGTGGTGGGGGGGGGGTCACCTGCTGACCGCAGTCTGCAGGTGTGTGTGCGCGTGTCACTCACCGTCTGCTTGATGTCGGGGATGCCGATGCGGAACACCATCATGGCAATGTGAGTGTCGTCTGGGCCGGAGCTCGTGCTCCTGTCTCGGAGCCGTTTCTGCTGCTGATTGGCTGTGGGCTGGTGGGCGGGGCCGGGGTTGGATGAGTAGGGGTTGGCGGTGTGTCCGGGGTTTCCGGCTCTGATCTGTCGCTCTGCTGCTGGACGTCCAGCCATGGTGCCTTTCTGCCTGTGCCCCTCATCCCTGCCCCCCAAACGCCCCCCTCCTCCTCTTCTCACCTCCTCCTCCTCCTCCTCATCCTCCTCTTCTCCATCCAGCTCTCCATTCTCCTCCTCCTGCCCTTCTTCATCCTGATATTCGTCATCTAACTCCTCCTCTTCTTCCTCATCCTCCTCTTCCTCCTCCGCCCCTGGATAAAGGTGTTGACTGTTTCCCAGCATCCTCTGCTGTTCCTCGTCACTGGAGAGAGGGCTGAGTGGCATCGTCATGGCGACAGGGAGGGTGGCACAAACGGCAAAGGCATCATCCCCAGAGACACACTGTGGAGGGAAGAAAAAGAGAGAAAGGGGGGAGAGGTTTTTATTGGGCAACTGAGAAAAGAGAGAGTTGTAGAAAGACTGAAAGAGAAGTAATGAAGCAAGAAAGGAATGCAGAAGGAGAAAGAGAAGATAGAGGGTGAGGCAGAAAGAGAAAGAAAGAGAACATAAAGAGAGAAAGAGGAGTATTGCAGAGTGAGAGAGAGAAGAAGAAGAAAAAGACAGGAGATAGAAAGAGAGGAGAGAAAGAGAGAGATTAAGGAGAGACAAAAGAAGTAATGAATGCAAGGAAAGTTATAAACACAGAGAGAAGAGAGACAGAAGTAATTAAGAGAGAGAAGCAGAGATGAAAGAGAGAGAAAGAAGTAATGAAGAAAGAATAAAATTAAAGTTATGAAGAGACAGAAAAGGAGGAGAGAGTGAGAGAGAGAAGAAAGAGAAAGGTATTAAAAAGGGTAAAGGAAAGAAAGAATGAAAGGAAAGTTATAAAGAGAGGAAAGAGAGAGGAAGAGAGAATGGGGCAAGGGTGAGAGAGAGAGAGAGAGAGAAAGTGAGAGAGAGAGAAAGAGAGAGAGAGAAAGAGAGAGAGCGAGAGAAAGAAGAAAGAAAGATAAAGAAGAGAGAGACTGAAAGGCAATTTATGGAGAGAGGAAAGAGAAAGACAGAAAAAAGAGAGCAAGAAAGAAGTAATGAAGGGAAAGGGAATGACAGGAAAGTTATGAAGACAGAGAAGAATACAGAGAAAGACAGGGAAGAAGAGAGAGAAAGAGAAGTAATGAGAGAAAGAAGGAGGAGAGAGTGGGAAAAAGAAGAAAGAGAGAGAAAGAGTGAGAGAAAGAAAGAAGGAGAAAGAGAGAGTGAGTGAGAGAGAGAGAGAGAAAGAAAGAGAGCGTGAGAGAGAGAGAAAGAAAGAAAGAGAGCGTGAGAGAGAGAGAAAGAAAGAGAGAGAGAGAGAGAGAGAGAGAGAGAGAGAGAGAGAGAGAGAGAGAGAGAGAGCGCTATGTTTACACCATCAGCACCTCAGGAAACTTTGATGTGAGATTAAACACATGAACTAAAAAGCACAAAGAGCTTTTTCATGAAATCAAAAAGAAGCAGAATTCTGCCAAACACTGCATTAAACTGCGTTACAGTGTTTTTGCAGCTATTGATCAGCTGTGGTCATGTGTGAAGGTGAATTCAGAAACCTGTAGAAATAACATAAAGACTCAAACTGCACTCAGGGCAGAATTAGGCTGCTTTACCTTCATTACAGCTGTTACGAATCTCTTATATCTCCTACATAGTGACCACAGTAACCGCAGTATGAAGCACTCCAGTGTGTGCGGCTCTAAGGTCAAACCATCAACCCACTGGCTGAGAGACTTTACCCACTAACCACTGACGCACTCTAATCCACCATTCATCAAACACAAAAGCCTTCCCAGAGCAGTAGAGGCTGTTACTGCAGCAAAGACGACAAACTCACTATTAATACCCTTTCATTTCAGAGGAAACGCTGGATCAGCAGGTTTTGGACACATAATAGTGCACAAGGTCAGACGAATCCTGACCACTAACACTACAGCTACAGACCACATGGACTACAGTGTAAACTAGTTATTCTTAGGTTATAAATGTGTAATAGTATGTGTAATAGGAGTCTAACCTTTTTTTTACTTCACATAATTTGGATCATTTCTATTCCATCCATTTATTATTATTATTGACAATTATTTAAAAGTATATATACTGTACTTTTTGTCTCCTAATTTGAGTAAAGGTGTGAAAGGAGAGACTGAATGAGAGAGAAAAATAGAGAGAGATAGAAGATGAAAGAGAGACAGAAGAAGAGAAAGAGAGAAGAAGGAGAGAGAGAAAGAGGAGGAGGAGAGAGGGAGAAATAGAGAAGGAGGAGTAGAGAGGGAGAAACACAGAAGGAAAAGAGAGAGAAAGAGAGAGAGAGAGAGAGAGAGAAAGAGAGAAGGAGGGGAAAGAGAAAGAGAAGGAAGAGAAAGAAAGAGAAGGGGAAGAAAGAAAAAGAGATGAGGAGGAGAGAGGGAGAAATAGAGAAGGAGGAGTAGAAAGGGAGAAATAGAGAAGGAGGAGTAGAAAGGGAGAAAGAGAGAAGGAGGAGTAGAAAGGGAGAAAGAGAGAAGGAGGAGAAAAAGACACAGAAAGAAGGAGGGGGAGGGAGAGAGAGAAAGAGAAAAAAGAGGGAGACAAAAGGAGAGAAGGAGGGAAAGAGAAAGAGAAAAGGAGGGGAGAGAGAAAGAGTGAAGGAGGGAAAGACGAGAGAGGAAGGAGGGGAGAGAGAAAGAGTGAAGGAGAGAAAGACAGAGAGAGAAGGAGGAGGAGAGAGAAAGAGTGAAGGAGAGAAAGACAGAGAGAGAAGGAGGAGGAGAGAGAGAGTGGTGGAGAGAGAGTTGAGGAGAACAGAAGTAGATTAAAGTTCTATTTGAAGTGCTGTAAAGCTGACCAGTAGTAGGTCACTGCTGGTCACTATGGAGACAGACACACACACGCACACAACTGTGTGACACCTGAAAAATTATATCTAAAAAGCTGTTTATCTGGCTAGTAAATGTTTAGTAAGTGTTTATTAAGTGTTTTGCTCAACAGAACACTAATATTACAATAAATACAAATATTATTAATATTCTAATACTCTTTTAAATCAAAACAGCCATTAGGTGGAAGTTTTTCATTTTAAGCAGAGACTTCTGAGGAGATTAGATATAAGATAAGCTTGTTCGGCTGTTTCTACCACAGAGAAAACAATCCCGATTGGACAGTTTTCTATGGGCAACACATAACAATGAAACAAGACTTACACACTACTACATGTAAAAGTTAAAAACAACGAACATGATGATACTAATACATAAAAATTAAAGCTAAAAATTGCACACATATATTTAAGTTTATTACTCATGAATCGTTAGCCCTTCTTTGAAGGCCCTGAAGGCCTTGAGGCTTCCACACTGCTTGGACCATGAGAAGCAGAAAATGCAACCAACTTCTAAGACTGAACCTTGGAGGTGTGGAAAAATATCCCTGCAGATTTCTTTGAAAGTCTGAAAGTGAGTCTCCTGAAAAGAATGGAAACAATAAAGACACTAAATACTGAAAAAATGTGATGTTATTCCATTTTGAGGCTTTTTTGTCATTTTCTCTTAAATATGTGTTGAAGGAAAATTACTTGTACTTAATTACGGAGCCTTGCTGGTGACATCATGTAGAAATAAAAATAATGTGTGGCCACGCCACATTAACGTGTGGGAATGAGATCCTAAAACGTGGCCACCACTTAGTGAGGCATAGGAATGAGATTATGCCTTATTAAGTCGTGGCCATGCATTAAGATCTCGTTCCCATACCTTACTAAGTCATGGCCATACATTAGGATCTTGTTCCCACGCCTTACTAAGTCGTGGCCACAACTTAATTATCTTGTTCCCATGCCTTACTAAGTTGTGGCCACTTTATTTATACAGGACGTCACCAGCAGGGCTCTGTACTTAATGGACATTTTGACTGAAAATGAATTAAAGGAAGGGGGTCTCTGATTTTCACACACATTACTCTACACACACACACACACACACACACACACACACACAATATGCACATATGTAGAAGCAGGTGTGCAAAGAAACGCACCAATACAAAGGCAGATCACACCTCCTTCTTAAGTGCACTACTCTAAATGCAGGTAACACATGTAAGGAAATGGGGGCAAAAAAGGCCATAGTTCACTTCGTACAACAGCCCTGCACTCAGTGTGGAGTGCGCACTTCAGATTTGGAGCACAGCTCATGGGTACGAGTGTGCTTTAACATTGTTACTGTGGCACTCCACCGCTGGGCTCCACACTCTCCCCTTCACTGCACAGATCACACAGGGTCTCAGGGCTCTAGTACGTATGGATGGTAGTTGATGTATCTCCAGAGTGCGCACTGGAGTGTGTACCATCACCTCTCACTGCACGGATTTCACACCCGCTGTGGATCGTATGTTACAGCACAAACACTGCAGCCTTTCCAGCAGTGTCACAAGACACTGATGATATTGGCTGTGTCTCAATAACTAGCGAATCTAGGCTAACTAGGACTTTGGGTTCATTTTAAGCCATCAAGTGTGAACTTCCAACTTAGATAACGGAAATGTGCTGCCTGCTGAGGTATCTGATTCTGCCCGAATTAAGGCAGCATCATATGTGTCCTTAACCAGTAAGACCATCCTACAAGGCAACACAACAATAAGTCAATAAATAAATCAATCAATCAATCAATCAATCAATCAATCAATAAATAAATAATTCAAGGTGGCACAAAGAAGGGATGAATACAAAATCATCTTCAAATGAACTTATTTGAACGAATATATGATGTCACTCACTTTTTTTCCTTCAGAAACCTCACGGCACATCAATTTAATTATGATTTTACTTGTGTCAAAGGTCATATTAGCATCATGTTAGCATGCTCGCTAACTTTGTCACCTGGGGCCTTTGGTTTAAAGGCAAGCCCAGGTTTAAGGCGGCATCACATCTATCCTTAATCAGTAAGGTCATCCTACAAGGCAACACAACAAGCTCAAATAAATGAATAAATAAATAATAATAAATAAATATTAATAACAATAATAATTCATGGTGGCACAAAGAAGGGATGCATGCAAAATCATCTTCAAATTAACTTATTTCAACTAATATATGGTGTTACTTGTTTTTCCTAATAAATTGCTAAACACATCAATTTGATGATGATTTTATTTGTGTCAAAGGTTAAACAGTGCTGGTATTAGCATGCTCGCTAGCTCTATTGCCTTGTTTTGAATGACAGGCCGAATTTCAAGGCAGCATCATACATATATATATATATATATATATATATATATTTAATAAATAAGATCACCTTACAAGGCAAAGCAACAAACATAAATAAATGTAAAAAATTCAAGGTGGCACAAAGAAGGAAATGCAAGCGGAGTCGTCTTCAAATGAACTTCTTTCAAGTGAT